AGCGAGGGGAGAGTGGGGGGTGGGGGGCGGCGGCGCGTTAGCCTTGAATACTGCTCGATCTCCCGCGCCGCCACCACCGGAGTCAGCGGCGAGCGAGCGTCCTGCCGTCGCCGACGGGGTCCTCGTGCGCCACGCGCGGGGCCCCGCTGGAGAGCGTGGGTGCCGGGAGAGCGACACGCCTTCGCGACGGCGACGCAAAGGGCGTCCTCTCGAGCGGCCCCGCGTCGGCTGACATCGACTCGACGGCGTCGCGGGGCACGCCGAATTTTGGCGCTGCTCGTTTGGCGACGCGCTTTGACTCGCGCGGTGCCGAGCGCTCGCTCCTTCCCCCCACCACCGCCCGCCGCGGCCGCGCCGTGACGAGCCGCAGTGTTGTTGTTGGTGCCCTGCGATAGCGTGGTCGTGGTGTGGTGCTGTGTCTGGCCTGAGCTCGTGCGTCTCACTCGTCTTGCTGTGTTTGTGTCGGTGGTCTCCCGAGGACTCACATGGAGTGAAGGCGTTGTCGCAGTGAACCCTCTCTGGATTTGCGCCCCCTGTGCCTGCCGTGCTCGCCGTCTTGAGTGTCGTCTTGCCCCTCGCCAGACAAAAGAGATTGCGAAAATGTCTGCTTCACCCATCGCTCGCCAGGCGACGCAGAGCATCCCCGTGAGGAGGGTGATGCTGAGCGACGCTTCGCAACTCCCCAACGATTACTCCACCACCCCGGGTGGCACACTGTACTCCACTACCCCTGGAGGTGAGCATGTCATCCCTCAGGACTCGAGGCGCAGCGCGTTAAACGAGTGACATGGTCGCTGAAAGACAAGTGGGGATGGTTTTCTTATCTCGCCTGATGGGTGGCTTTGCCTGCCTCGTCGCCAATGTGCCAGGAAAAGACCCATTGATAATTTGTTGTCAGCTCGTGCGATTGTACGACGAGTCGTCGGAAAAGGGTGGTGATTGAGCTGAAAGCCAAGTCGTAGTTATGCGTAGCCATGCCACGCCGCGTGGTGTGTAGCAGGGTTAGGAGATTTGGAGGGGGGGGGGTGCACTGTGCAGGAAGAGAAGTAGAGGTGTCGGGAAGGGGGGGGGGGGGCGCTTTTCGCAGACCGCCGCACAAACATACGAACCATGCGCTAGCTGCGCGGAGGAATCAGCTGTTTGCCATCGCAATCTGATATCATGTTCTGACAAGTCGGCGTGCTATTATTTTTATACACTAGGAAGGATTTTGCCTTTGCTACGAGAGACCTCACCTTTTTCGGTCTCTTCTACAAATCAGCGTAAAGGGGATTTGGCGATTGTATTACTAGAGTACTTTTTATTTAAGAGTGACAACTTAAGGACTTTCTTCTTTATTAGTTTAGTTCAGCATTTTTCACAAGATCTTGTTACCGTTAGTGTTTCATGTGCTAATCTGATATTAATTACTTTCAGGCACAAGAGTAGTGTATGAGAGAAATTTTCTCCTCCAGCTCAGAAACTCTCCTTTGTCGCGTACTCCGCCATCCAATCTACCTAACATTCCCGAGTCTCTGCTGAAAGGCTCAGTTGATCGCCCAATTATTTCACCACCCAAGGAGAATGGGGCCATCAAAACTGTTCCTGTTAAAAAGGGTAAGTTTTGAAACTAATATTCCCTGAATATTTGCCATATGTATCAGTCTTCTAAAGTTTTTTTGTTTTTTTTTAATATTTCAGACGCCAATCCAGATGAAGAACAATTTGAGATGGACATGTAATAAAATTAGCATCTTGTGATTCTTTGTGCTAGGTGCTTCAAAGATTTTCTTTGCACCCTATGGCATATCAAATCCATACGCCATTCCATGAAGAGAAGGATAGTGTTGTGATGTGCCATGAAATACACTTATGCACCATCTTCTGACTTGCTGTCCGAAGCCGCTCAAGAAATCATAAGTTAGTTTTTTATCTTGTCTTGTGTCAAGGAAGACATTTATTATTTAGCAATAATTTTTGAGCAACTGGGGTTTTTACCTTAGTGACATTGAAGGGGCTGTGAAACAAGTCATCTTCGTATTAACTGCTTAGTCAAGAATGGCTAAAAAAAAACTAAAAAAAGACTGCTCTACTTTCACCCTTTAACTGCCTGTGAGTAATTGTGCTGGTTATAGAATAGTAGTTCTGGTTGGGTTTTGTGGATGGTCTTGTATCCTTTCTCTGTGAGCCTGGTGCACTGTCCACAATCCTCATGCACACTATTAGTATCTGTCATTTTCCAGCTTCACTTGAAGTTATGATATTATCAAGTTTTATTGATTGGTTTATGTTTATCTTTGACTATGTTTACTGTACATGATCTGTTTTCAGATTAAAGTAAAATCCCCAAAAAATCTTTATTTTGTAAGACAACACTATTTCGTGTTGAGTTTTATTGGGTTTAAGATTGTATTTTTTATTTTTAAATGATTGAGTACAATGTTTTATTTCTGTTACAACAGTTTATGTAGTGTGCTTTTGGTAGATTCTTTTCAATTACAATTCGGTTTAAGCAAATCCATTGTGTAGAAAATCTGTTCTTGTAGACCTCAGGAAAAGAGTTTTACTTAAACTTTTAATAGCATTTGAACATTTTATGTTATGCTATTTTAGAACAAGTGTTCTATTCTGCAAATTCTTTGAATAAATTATCCAAGATACCCTGTAAACTTAGTATTGATTTGTATGAGCCTTGTTACGGAGGTGAAACTTTGTCTTACCTCGCACAATATGGAAGAACATCTCAATGGTCCCCAGTTCAGGAAGGACAGCCACAGGTGAAAAGTGGTAAACTGTCGACAGTGTGACAGGGGACTAAAGAAAACACTTCAATTTTAATTCATCTCTCTATGTTTTTCCGAATACATGGAAAATTGTTAATCTTCAGCAAGGATACAGCCTCGAAATTAAATTCCACTAATGAGCTGCTTTGTTTTAACAGTTATCTGTTGTAATGTTTTCAAGAAAAAATAACAATCTCAAGTTTGAAGAGCAACGGACAATCTGGGATTATCAGTGAGAAAATGTCTGTTGTGATCCTGTATTGTAATGGCAGGATGCTTGAAAACGCCCTTGACTTTGTTGCATTTTTGTCTAAGCTGCATCATAGACCTAGAATGGGTGACTAAGGATTCAAAAGTAACTAAATTAATCGATCAAGCAGCCTAATTTCAAATATCAGATCAGTCATCCGTCATTATTGCAAAAAGAGAAATTTGATATTTGTTGTTCAAATACAAAGTTTTTCACATGCAATAACTTTTTACTTACTCATTTCAGTATGTTTGTCATTAATAATCTGAAACAATAGAATACTGGGAGTTTTACTTACAGTAATTATAATTTTTATGCATAATGTGAGGTGAAGTTCTCCATGAAGAATTTCTCAAAATATTGTCATCTCACAAGTATTACCCCACCCCTTTTAAATGACACTTTATGGAAGGATTTGGCTGGACTTGTTTAATTCAATTGGTTCCTTGAAATTTGCACCAGAACTAGACAAAAGAATTATGAGCATGTGAAAACAGGTTGGTACAGTTATGTTAATTGTGCACACATCATTGTTTTCAGCTACCTTAATCTACAAATTCAAATGATTGAAACTTTGAATGACTATCTTTATTAATGGGCTATTAAGTACAGGACAGATGACATTTCAAAGCTTTTCTTCAAACTGCAACATCATTTAGTCGTAAACCCTCAATACAAATAACTTTGTACTCAAAGACATGGAAAAACAATCTACAGCAGGTGTCAGAGTACAATACACACTAAGAATGATAACATACTGCCTTCATATAACTACAATTATAACCATAATATATAAATAATTCACAAATGAGGGCTGGGAGCAGGACATGTCATATATACATAGGTACAGATTACATGTAGTTCTTTGCCAGTATTAGACCCTTCAACTAAAAAAATAAAAATAATGATTTAAAAAAACAATTAAAATGGGGTAGGGCCACATTCATACAAAATACATCTTTTCAAAAACCAGTCTGTAGGTGTTCAAAAATACTCACAGTAGAGAACCCAGCAGAGTAGAAGTGCACATCAATTAAAATTCCCACAAAGACCTAATGGCAAAATACACCGTATTCTCCCACTCAATTTTCCCTAGAAGACGTAAGTCACAATTCAAAATTCTAAAACAAAAAATAAAAACAATTTATCACTCGTTTGGAAGTCCAAAATGGTGAACTAAAAAACAAGATGAATGGAATACTGACAAATCTCTTGTGCCATATTATGGAGCACAGGTAATCCTGGTGATATTGAATAAAGAACACAACCCAACCTGGACACAGCTGTTAATGCGGTTAGCAAAAGGCAAATTCATTAAGAATATTAACTTCAGTATCCAGTCTCATCACACATGGGCAGATTTAACATTCAGAGTACACAAAACATCCCTTCTAAACAAGTATATTTATATATATTTTTTTTGTCTTTTGACAACAAGTCCTAGCTTCCAACATCTCATTCTGCCCTATACATCACAGAGGAGAAATACATAATTAGAATAGAATAAATAAACAGAATAAATGAAAAACAAGATACAAAACTGAATGCCGCATCATAAGAAAACACCACTTCTTTCCTATCAACAATGCATACCATTTTAATACCGGATTTCATACAAAAAGCTAATTTTAATTGGATCGGACCAAAGCAAGTAATTATACTGGAAGCTATGCCTTATCAAACTTCCAAATGGCAACAATCAATTTACGAAACTGTGCCAACCAACAATATAAAACATGGCTGTGGCACAAAGTTAATTTGCTTTACACCTTAGCCTATTGCACTTGCACTCTCACTTAAAGCTAAGAGGGCTGCGTCCAGAAAAGCCCTTTTCACACCTCAACATTTTACCTATTGTTTCACTACCTTTGATTGGAACAGTGGAAAATCATGAGCAGGGAACCACACCATCCATACCCAGAGCTATAAATTAAGCATTTAGACTCCCTAGTGTTTAAGATGGTGTTTTGTATACAGTTCTTTGGTAATACTTTGAGTTTACATCTAATATCGATAACATGTTGGGGTAGGACTGATTGCAACGTACATCAGGTACTCTCCAACACCAAAATCATCCATTGTAGCATAATATAACTCTCACAGCACTTAAGAAGTGGCAAGAAAGCTCTACAAATTTGCTACAAAAAATAAAAAAAATGGGGTCAGGAATTTGGTTGAGAATGTCCACAGAGTTGAACTCAAAAATAATTACGAACGATATTAGAAAGGAATCAGTGTTGTGACTAGCGTGTCGTCGCAACACGCAAAAGTCCGCCCTGAGATCTGGCACATGGTGCAAAATGCACTAACTTCCAAATCACACATAAGAAAATTCATGAATCATCAGAAAAATTGAAATAAAAATTAATTAAAATTTTAAGTCTATTGAAATAATCCCCACTGTTTGATTCTAATCTTACACAACATACAAGACACGTTCACACACCACAGCATAATTCCATCCAAAGCTGGACTGTTTCCCTTCCCATTTCTTGATGAGTCAATCACAAGTAAACCAAGTCAACCACGCACACACACATGTATCAAACACTTGTAGTTTGTAAAATAGATATTTCTTCTTTTTTTTTTAAAGGAGGGAAGCATAGTCTTCCTTTCACTTGAATAGAGTTTGTGAGTGTGACTTCTGAGCTGCTGGACTGTGCGTAGTCGGCGAGATATAGTCGTTGGGATGCTTCAGCTTATTCGGTCCGGCCTCCTGGCCAGTTGCTTTAAAAGTCGCCGACTGCGCTCTCCAGGCTCTACCGTCGCGCAGCCGCTCTCTGGCCGTCCACCATGTCCTCCACCACATCCTCGGCGGGTGGTTGGGGTGTTGACCTCGACGCAGGGGAAGTCACACTGTTTTGATGACTATGGAGCTTTTCATAATCCATGACCTCAGAGTAGATAAGCTCTTTCCACTGGTCTACAGTGTGATCACGTTCGTCCACCGAATGGTCATATGGACCAGGAGCAGGCTAATCAAAATAAAAATATAATATAAATAACAACTATTTTTTTATAAAAGAAAACATACAAATACAGTTTATTAGTTAGGACCATGCACTTACCGCATTCACTTCTCCTTCATCATACCACACATTGATGTATGGGTGCAGGAGCGCATCATCGACAGATATCCTCTTCTCAGGATCAATTACTAACATTTTTGATAAAAGGTCCCTAGCTTGGCTTGCTGTGAATGGAAAGAGAAAATCATTATAAAAACTACTGATAAATGAAAAATATCCTTTTAAATGGTAGTATTTTTTTAAGTAAACTGCTAAAGTATTTTTGAAAAAATAATTTAAAATGGTTGTTACGTACCTTTTAGCCTGTTGTGCTCATTTGAATCGGACGGAAATAGAGCATCAGGGAAAAGGCGGTCGAATGAATACCCAGCATGTCTTGGCCTATTTTCTACATAACTCCGAACTGTAGGTTGTAACCTCTTCATAAACTCTGATGAAGGAGTACCCAGTTGTTCTGAGGAATTGAATAAAATTTTAGACATGTGGTCCACACAAAGAATTTACAATAGAAGTCAACTACTTCAAGATACAAACCAATAATTTTATTCCACTGATCAATGTGATCAGTTCCAGGGAATAGAACTCCACCTCTGATCATTTCTCCCATAATGCAACCTACTGACCATATATCAACATTTTCTTTATAGCCCATGCCCAAAATAACCTGGATGACCAATTTTCGATGATTAGAAATTCAAGTATACACAAAACTTAAACTTACACATCTACATTAGAAAGAAAAGAAAGGGAAGGGAAGAAATTAACTTACCTCTGGTGCCCGATAATACCGTGTGACAACATACGGTGTCATCATGAAAGTTGTCCCTGCTGTCCTTGCCAATCCAAAGTCTAAGATCTTTAGAGTGCAGTCTGACTTGACAACAATGTTGCTGGGTTTCAGGTCCTAAAAGTACAGATCAGATAAATATTCAGCTAAAAAGAGTTCATTTGCATTGGCAAAAACAATTCTGGGTAAAACAGGAAGCAAAGCAAAGCAATGATCAAGCATACCCTATGAATAATTCCCGCTGAGTGAAGGTGCTTTATTCCACACAACATCTGGTACAGTAAGTATGACATTCTTTCATGGTCCAGATCCATTTGAATTACTTGACATAAGTTGGCATCCATTAACTCCATTACAAGATAAACATCTTGAAATTCTTCTAAGGACTTTTGAGGTGTAAATGCATTCAAAAGTCCAATAATCTAAAGACAAAGAAAAGTTATATTTCATGTGCAATGAGTTGCACAAGTTTATGTATTGATCAGAAATACTTACATTTTTATGATTAACAAGCTTCATTAGCTTAAATTCTCGGTATGCTCGTTTAGCATGGGTAACATTCTGAAATGGTCTGCTTAGTTTCTTAATGGCCACATTCTGTTGTGTCATAGTGTCATATGCGGCGCTGAAAATTAAAATTAAAAAAATTTATTATAAAACATAGCTAACCAAAAGTATTACGTATTTCACTTCAATGCCTTTTTTAGGATAAATAGTTACAAATTCAATCAAAATATAGTTATATAAAGCATATTTGACATTCACAGAAGAAAGGGTAAAGAGAGAACAGGTTATAAAGAGCACAGAGAAAAAGCGTCAAATTATTAGAAGTATAAGCTCAAATATTTTACACACTTCTACAAATGTTCATGCATAGGCAAAATATAATACCAACACAAGCACTAATAAGGCTTTGTAGTTATACCTACAATAATAACCCAAAACATGTACCAAAAATATTTCCTCTTTTAAAAACTCATATTTAACACCTCATTAACTGTGGTTCCCAATAAACTTCCAATCAATTTGTCAAACACCCTTCAGGTTAGTGTTTCAATAACTTGATAAAGATTAAAGAAAAGCAAAAACCTGACCTGACCCCTTAAGAAATAAAATGTAGAGGACAGCAGCAGATAGTAGACCCTTCAAGCTGGAGATAATTTATTTAAAATGTTAGCAGAGGTGTTAGTAACGAGAAGGCCAAGAGGTAAGCGGGTGGCGGCATGGGGAGGTTTAGCAGGGAGGACTGCTACTCACCACACCATACCCTGGGCCCCCACGCCCTTCGGCTGCAAATTCGTATAGCGTTCCGGCACCGAAAACTGCGTGTCCTCGACCTCCATTGAGTAGAACATGATTGTGATGCAGTCAGATCACGTACAGAACAGCAGTGTCTGCCTAAGCAACTACTTCTTCACTGCATCAACGCACACCACACACTCAGGCTCATAGTTGCCTGCAAAATTACATGTCCAAAATGTTTATTTCTACGTCATTTCATAAGGGCAATTAATGCAATCAATCAATTCAACATTCTTGCGTCCTAGGTGCGGCAGGCAAACTGGAAATTGGAAGGCACTACAAAATATATTCTATTGCATTACAAAAATAAATATTGGTTGTCTGTGAGACAATCATGAAACACAATTGAGAGATAAAGGTAGATTACAAATCAGGTAAGACTGTTTGTTTCTTTATATTGAATGACATAACAGGTAGATGTAAAAATGAACAAGAATAAGATCTGATATGCAAATGAACACAGATCGGTTTGAATAGCACGCAAAACAAATGTACAAACACTTCATGCGTAATTTTAAATCCATACTACATAAACCCATTAAAAAATGGAGAAAACAGTCCAAACACAAATCTTTTAGTTGAAAGACTTGATACAATATGACATGAGCCACAAAAAAGACCACCCAACTTTATTGAAAAAGTAATGGGACATAAAATAATTCTTGGCTTGCATGACAAACCAAAGTAAAACAATTAAATGTCATGCACATGCAGAGAATCTCAAAAGGCTTTCTTTAAATTATAATACTAGGAAAGCAAATACCAAAGTGCACTGAGCATCTATCATAGATCTACACGCAACCAATACAATACAATTTAAGAAAAAAAAATTGTGAGGAAACAGATTGGTTTTCAAATAAAATAAAAATTGCATAAACACAATGATGATCTTACCACACGATACCCTGAGCACCAGACCCAATGGGCTTGAGGTTCTGGTAACGCTTCAGGATGGTGAACTTGGTGTCGCCCACCTCCACAGTGTAGAACATGGCCTGGAGCCGCGAGCTCATCTTGGGATTGAGGAACGGCATGCGGCGCCTAGACCAACCTCCGTCTGGAACACGCCGCAGAGAAATGTTAAACTTTGGGCGGGGATGGGGGGGGG